AGATATATCATATATATATATTATATATGTATATATATATATGTATATGTATCACATACAAAGCAGTTGCGTTAACTATCCGCACACACAGACACACACAGACACGCACACACATACACACACAGGCAACTGCGAACTGGGCTTATCAAGATGATACTACAATACAACAACCCAACCCCCCTGACCAACCATCATGCCTTGCATCGCATCAACTCTGCCCCACGTCAAACGAACAAACCCCAAAAATTCACACGCTGAAGCGCGTTAGTTTTTCTTGCATTCAACATACTTCAGTATTAGCATGAGAGGAGAGAACACAGCCGATTGCATGTTATCGACTGCACAATACTTGTTCACGGTCTGGATATGATCTCCATGTATTCCGATCTGCCTCGAACTGATGGTTGTATACTAAAATGTTATAGACTTTGGTTCTTAAAACTCTGGTAGTTATAGTTTCACTTTTCGATTTGCCAGCTATAATTTCGATTGAATCTGTGAGATATATCTCTTATAGAGAAGTTGAACAATGATATCTTTGTTACATTTTGGAAGTTTAGGGATTTCAAGACTTTAATTTTCATCCAGCTTGAATACTACTATGGGCTGTTCCGATCTCGCAAGAATATACTGAACATCTGAGGCTTATATCAGAATATACAAAAGTCTATATGGTTTTCAAGACCTATGCGTTGCGTGTCTCCTAAATACAGTCGAGCCAACTTCAATAAGGGGACCTTGCATAGAAATCAATATACCCCTTTTCACTTCATAAACGTGTATAAAAATGAATTTTTGGCATAGCCGAAGCTTAAATATATTTTGCAGAGTTTGTTTACATAAGATTTAGCAATGCTTCACATATTTCAACGTCAAAAATATTAATTGAATGCAGCAAATTCAATCAAAATAAAAAATAAAAAAATAAATAAATACAAATATAGATTGTAAAATTAATATTAAAAAAGTTTTTATTTTATTATTGTAGTGCCAATATCATTTATTTTTTGTAAGACCATCAACACTATTAATAGTGTTGCACAATATGCAAAAGCATTTCGAAATATTTAAAAAAAATTTAAAAATTATTTACTTAATATTTTGATAAAAATAATTACTATTATTTAATTTCTATTTTTATTTAGTTTTTAAATAATTACATACCTAAACTAAATTTTACTTTAAACAAACTTCCTTAGTTTAATAATTTATATGCACATAACGAACCAATAAATTAGATCAATTTTATAATTTTTTATTTGATGTCTAGAAGCCTTACCAGAAATAAAAAAAAAAAGACTTTATTGTCCAAATATATTTTTAAAACATATAATCCTCAAATTTTCTAGCGTTGAAATTTATTTGAAAATGTTTACAAATTATTTACAATTTGCTGAATTTAAACTAAAAAAAATTGTTAAGCTTCAAATATGCTTATTCTTCTCCTAAAATTCGTATAGTGCTATTAAATTTTACTTAAACAACTCTGCAAGGTGTTCAAGGCGTTAAAACTGAAAACAAATAAAAAACTACAAATTATTATTATATATTATATTTAAATTTTTAGCAAACGTTGTCGAATTAATTAGAAAAAAAATAAAGAATTTAAAATTAAAAATGGGAAAAAAATACAAAAAATCATAAGCAAAAGTTAACATGAGTTTTAACAACTGAAACGACGAATTACGTGAACGTAGTTCGGGGCACAGCATTTTAAAGCACAAAACAAAACAAAACAAAAAATGAGAAAAGTTTCGTATTTAAAGTTAATAATGTGTTACCTCAGTTGAAATACAGAGAATGTTTTAAGTAGCTATTAGCTAGTTGGTGTGTCTAGTTTTAAATATGTATTAAATAGCCAAATACACATTAACACACACACACACACACATACACACAACGGTATTTCCCTTTTGTAAACCTTACCTAAATCCAGTTGCCTTTAGTCCTCTTAGCTGCAATTCAATTCGCACACTAGACGATAATACGAAAATACCAAGAAAACACCATAGAAAATACCAACTAACTGTAGACCTATGTAAACCCAAAAGCTCATTGAATTTACATCACTCAGGCTGCGACATGGAATTGAAAATTCGACAACCTATTTGCATTAGCATAGGTCTATCGATAAACATCGAAATGTTATCGATTTCCTAAACAAATATCTCATTTTCTATGCTTTGTTAACAAATACCAAATTCTATAAATTAAATTTTACATTTTTTCTACGAGTGAAAGTAGTTTAAATAATAATAGATTTGCTTTTAATTTCTCAAATATACAAACGCGCAAACACTCACGCACACGCACACACATATACACACATACATATACTTACATATATATAAATATATACTATATAATTGTATATGAAATACATAAATGTAAATGTAATCGCAAAAAAAAAAAAAAAAAAACAAAGTATTAGTAAAAAGTTTCGACCAGTTAAAAACAACAAAAAAAAAATAAATTTATTATTAAAAAAGGCATACACAAATGAAAAAAAAAAGAATTGAATATAAAACCATGTTTAAACTAAGCATACATTTAGATTAAAAAAAAAAAAAAAAAACAAATTTAATATATTGCAACAATAAACAACATGAAAATAAAAACTGAAATTTAATGAAAATGCAAAAAACAATTGTTTGGAATATTTTTTTTTTTTTTTTTTTTTTTTTACTTTTTTTTTCATATAAACCAAAATATTCTGTTTTATTTAATCAAAAGGATAAAACTTAATTAGCTAAATATACTTATTTTTAAATATTAAAAATTAAATTAATTATTTATTAAATAATAAATAAAAACTACGTCCACAAAAATAATATTAAATATTAAACTTTATTTTTAAGATATACTTTAATTATATTAAATATAATTATAATTATTATATTAATATTAGTATTATCCTAAATTTTCAATTTTCATCAATCATGCAGAATGTCTAAAGTGAATGCAACAGCGAAAGGTTTCAAACGGAGCACCCTGTATGCTGACTAGCAGAAAACACGGCAAAAAGCACACTGAGCAAACAGTCGGTACCGTCCACACGACAAAGCGTTGATTTTTCTGCTGCCGCCGCTATCGACGCAGCCGTCACCTCTGCTGCCTCTTGCTGCTGTTGTTGCTGTTGTTGCTGTTGTCGTAAGGCGGCGTCGGAGTCTGTGCCGTCGGCTACATGGCATTCATTTGTGCTACATGCATAACTATTTTAAGTGCGCATGTGTGAGTGAGTGAGTGTGAGTGTTTGTGTGTGTGTCTGTGTGTGTCTCTCTCCTTCTATGTCTCCCTCTCTCTCACTCCTCGTCTCTCTCTCTCTCTCTGTCACTGTTGGTAACTATCTGCGTTGGCCTCTACCTGGTGCCCAACTGCACTACCACTTTCACAATGTGCGCTGGCGCTGCAGCAACAGCAGCAGCAGCGCAGCCGCAACAAAGGCAACAAGCAAAACAAAAAACAAGGCACAGCATGTTCGAATGCTTGAAAGTTCGAAAATGAATGCAAGCCACAAAATGAACCTGAAAGCTACAAGAGCACAAAAAACTACAGGGCCGGATCAGCAGACAGGCGCTGCGCGTTCAACTCAACTGTATTCGGTGGCGTCAGCTGGCAAAATGCTCTGAATGCGCACCTGTAAATAATGTTTAGTCAAGTTTCAAACCAGCAAATGCGAGCAAGTTCGTTGCCTGAGTCATTTGTTATTGCACAAGCTATTAAATGCGTACCTGGGAAACGCGGCTCTAGAGCTATGCAGGTGCACACACAAACATACAAACACACACACATACACACTGGCAGCGCAACAGGCGCAGGCGCAGGCGCAGGGACAAATGTATTTGGTCTGCTACCTGTGTGCGTGTCTGTGTTGCCAGTGTAGAGACAACATCATCATCGAATCGATGAATTTCAGTTTTGCTCGCTCGTTTGGTCGACTGCTGCTGCTGCAGTCGACGCCGACGCCGATGCCGATGCCGATGCCGACGCAGCTCGCTCAATATCAGTTACGAAAGAGATGAAACCATAAAAAGCAATAATAATCGAGCAACATGCACGCTCTCTCACACAGACATTCACCTGTGTGCGCCTGCACAGACACAGGTCGAGAGAGCGCGAGCGAAATAGAGAGAGAGAGAGAAGGTGAGCAGCGACTGCGCAGCCGAGCAGCAGCAGCCGCTGCCGCAGCGACGCGCTCTGAGCAGCAGTAGCAGCAGCAGCAGCAGCAGCAGCAACAACACATTCAACAGTTGAACAATCTCCAATTGACTCTTTGGGCATTATAGCCGAGCTCAACGTTCATCCGCGACAAGTTTTTCGTACCTTTCGTGCAGGCGAGTTACACATTTTCGCTTTGGCTCCTCAATAAACAACAAATTAAATACTGAATACAAATAATAATTAATTGAAATTGCAAATGCACAGAGTTGCCAGCATATTTGAGAAAACTCTGCGAATTATTTAAATTAATAAAGTGAAGTAAAGCAACCAGCAGCAGCAGCAGCAGCAGAAGTAGAAGAAGAAGCACTAAAAAATAGAAACGAAGAAAAGTACAAAAAAACACACACACATACACACACACACGCACACACACATACATAGAGAGTGAAATACGTTCGCGTTCGGTTCGCGTGTGCCAGCAACAGTGCGCGCGCTTGCTTGTGTGTGTGTGTGTGTCTCAGTCTGTCTCTGTGTGCATGTACTCGCTGTGGTGTGCCCATGTGTGTGTGTGTGTGCGAGTCGTGCCTGCCGTCGCTGTGTGCGTGCGTGCGTTTGTGTGAGCCAAAACGAGACGCCATCAAAGCTGAGCAACGGCAACAGAAATAAAAATTCAAAATACAAATTGTGATTAATAACAAAACGAAAAAAGCAAAAGCAAAACAGCAAAAACAAAAGCAAAGAACAACAAAAGGCGAACGCGCAGAAATTTAAAAAAGCGCGTAAACCCAAAGCACACACACACACATGTATGTGAGTGCCTGTGTCTGTGTATATACCAACCAGAGCAACAGCAACAACAACAACAACAACAACAGAAAAATACTAAAATACTAAACTAAAGCATTAAGGCGGGCTCCACAATGAAAAATGTATAAACTGTTAACAAAAGTGCAAAAGCAACCACAACAACAACAGCAACAACAACAACAACCGCAACAACAAAAGAGAGACGCAAATGCTGCGCGCATCCGCTGCCACCGCCAGCACCGCCTCCGCAGCCGTGTTTCGTGTACGTCGTGGCAATTAAAAAAGTTTTATGCAAAATACGCAAATCAAATGTTAATGCTGTGAGCTGTGCATTGTACATGTGTGTGTATGTGTATGTGTATGTGTGTGCGTGCGTCCAAAATGCACACAGCCACTACAGCAACAACAAGAGCAGCAACAACAGCAGCAACAGCAACAACAACAGTCAACAACAATCAACAACAGCAACGAGACCAAGGAGTCGCACATTAGAAGCTCACAGCTAGCAGTCAGGCTTTGAGCCAAAGACGCATACCAACAGCAGCAGCGCTAAAGTGGCGAAAGGTGCACCCACCAGCAGCGGCAACAGCAACAGCAACAGCAGCAACAACAACAGCAACAACAACAACGTCAACATCAACAACAACAATCAACAATTCCAGCAGTCAGCCACGAATTAAGCGGGCACCACAAATACATGCAAAACACACACACACATATACATATATAGCTACGTTCGTTAGTTCGTTAAACATTTACGGTGTTTTTTTCTCGAAATTATTTCGAACATGCCGTCGCCGCCTACCAAGCCTTCCAGCCTTCCAGTGATAGTGTGCCATAGTGATCCTTACGAATTGTAGTGCCAAAATTCCAATATATACATATACAACGTTTTTACCTGGTACTCGGCGCTGTGGACAGCTGCAACGCATACAAAATATACATATTTGTAAGTATTGCTCTTTCATTCTCGCAATCTACTATATATATATATATATAAATGTATGTGTATACAGAGAAGTAATTATAAATGCATAAAATGCAACACTGCGCTCTGAGCCAGGCTTAAAGAAACGCGCAACAGCGACATCAATAAAAGCCAAATATAAAGCACCCTGTAAGGTGCGCTGTCAACGTCGCAGCCGCGATGGTAATAGGCAATAGTGTTGGAGAGTGCGCAAGAGCGTATAAGGCAGCCAGAGCCTGAGAGAGAGTGAGATAGAGAGAGAGAGAGAGGGAGAGCGCAAGCGCGTGTGTTCGTTTGGTTCGCTCATTCGCTTCGTTTGTTCGTTCAGTCGCTCGTTCGGTCAGACAACGGAGCAGTGCAAAGCGGGCGAAAAGGGATCAAAAGGTGTTGTCTGTGTGTGCGACGCTGCTGGTGCTGCTGCTGCGGCTGCTGGTGCTCTTGCTGCTGCGGCCAGCGTCTCAGTCGACTTGTTCGAAAATCGAAGTTACTGTTGCTGCTGCTGCTGTTGTTGTTGTTGTGTTTTTGATTACGTTTTCTCGTGGCTTCTTGTAGCATTTGGGCAGCGACTTCGTTGACTTTGGCTTTATGGCTGCTGTTGTTGTTGTTGTTGTTGCTGCTCTTTTATTTTTTTTTGTATTATGTATTATTCTTTATACTTTTTGTTAGTGGTCCGCACATTGATGATGGTGATCAATTTGGGGCTGCGATTATGGTACAGTAAAATGAACAGCGTCGCCGCTGACGCTGCCGTCGCTAGCGCTGTCGCTGTCGTTGTCTTGCGTTAGCCACTACGCAGCAGACTCAGAGACACACACACATATGAATATACAATGACACTCACATGTGCACGTCAGCTCTCACACACACACACAGGCACAACTACAAAGACTCGGGGCACACTTAACCCACACAAAAGCCAGCGAGGTGGCTCGCTGCGGAGTGGGAGGAGGAGGAGGAGGGGGAGAGGAATGAACGGCATAAGGGAGTGGCGCGGGGGTTAACTTCGTGAGAGAGTTATTTTATTTTCGTGTTCGTGTTAACGTTTATTGTTTTTCTTTTCTTTTTCTGCGTTTTTCTTACCTTCTCTCTGGGCTCTCAATGTCTGCGTCTTTACTTGGTCTTTGCTTGTTGTTGTTGTTGTTCTTTTTTTTTTTTTTTGTTTTTTCGTTGAGTTCGTGTAGTTATTGATGCCCGGCTTTGACCGATGGCTTAAGGTTAGGTTCGTACATTTCTTGTCTTTGGGTGCACACACACACAAACACACACACACATACACCTATAGTTGGGTACATATCTCTGCATACTTTTATATCAAATGACTGTCGGGGTCTAAATTATGTCAAATCTTGATGGGATTCCAAATGGTATTGCCTTCGAAACGATTATATTCCTCCATTCTGAAAGCCAAGCAGTTAGTTAGGGCAAATACGAGAATACAAATACAAACGACTTTAAGATTCAATAATAAAAACAATGCACAGATTAAATTTCTAATGTGAATAAATTAGAGACGGGGTTTCACTTAATGTATATATTTTTGGATATACTGCCGATAGCTAAGATTACGTACATACTATATATTCATTTATTTCTAAAAATATAGAAAGATGATGAAACTTTTATGCATATTAATTAATTTGATTGAGGCAGATCGTATATGAAAGATTCCCAAAGGAATACTCATGTGAAAAATTATAGTTACCTATTCTCTTACATATGATATTTATATGCGATGTTAATTGAATTTTGTTGAGGCATAAGAGATATTTACAATCTACCATCTTTCCAATCTATTAACATTTTTCTTTGATCAGAAAATATTATGTATTATTTCCCATTCAATTGATCTTGTTATGGAACAGTTTTTAATTCCATAAAATATTTATTTTATACTTTCTTCCGTTTCACTGATTTGCCGGAGATACATAAATGCGAATTTCGATCAAACTTAAACAAACAAGTCAATTAAGCAAATAAAACTTAATTAGTTGATCATTATGATCATTGTGTATATAAATATATGGCTGAATCTATTTTCGTAACTGTCCAATATGAGTTCGTTTACCCTAGTCGCATTGAATATGCAAATTCAGCTTGAAACTGTAAAGTAAAAGGCGACAGGAGGCGTGGTCCATGACGTAAAGTCTGTATTCTTCTCGTTGAGATTTGGCACTACAGAGATCTAGATTTTATATCCTGCTCTCAAATCACCAATACTTGGTTCAGCTTGTGCTCATTGCTGGGTATATTCTAGTCGTACACTTCCAACTAGATCAACAGTACTTATTACTATAGGAATAATAAAAAATGTGTTTTCTGATATGATATCAACTAAACCCATTTAAATGCAAATCACGTCTCGCAACAATGTTGCCTTTGACTTCTGCTTAAGCAACAGCGGAGTTCTTGGGAATATTATAATATGTTATTATAGAATATGTATAAATATATCTATAAATATAGCATAGGTATATTAATCAATCAATGTTGACTTAGAAAGATTAGAAACTTACACTAGCCTGGAATTCGATTTGGGGTTTTCCTGGAAGTACTTATAAATCTCTTCATTATTATTATGCAAATCAAAATAGACTAGCCTTCTAAGTTAGCCAAATATTACATAGAAAATATTCAAAAATGATATTTGTTATAATAAATAGAGGAATAGTAAATCCATTCTCATTCATTTGTAAAAACACAGGGAAAGACAGACGTATAAGACGAGGTTGGGCTGCCTGTGAATCCCCATACATATAATACTTTATCTTAACTACCACGCCTCCTGCTGTCTTTTATATCTTCTTTAACTTCTTATGCCTTGCAAAAATAAGTTAACTGTTTGATCTCTCCTCTATCACATCAAATGTCACAGATATTGAATTGATTTAATTAAATTGCATATCGTCTGACATCTATTCGAAATTCGAAAATATATGGAACATCATTAACTCCCGCTTGAATCTTTCAATTTACCTAGATCAGTTTAGACAAAAGCGTTTAATCAATTCCAAAGATTTAGCTCAGTTTTTCTATGTCTCTCCCATTCTCTCTCTCTCTCTTCCTCTTTTTATGGGTTTTTGCTCTTGAAAGTATTAAGTGGATAAATAGAATAAATGTGCTCGAGCATATCTAGATAGCTCGGGGCAAACACTCGAAAAAGAAACACTTTGTGAGGGATTTAGAGGGAGTGAGAAAGAGAGAGGGAGGCAGAGGGAGAGATGGTAGAGCGAAGGGCACATCAAATTGACCTCAATCGTTATATAAAGCCATAAAGCTGCACAAATTGGCCAAGTTTGAATTTGTTCTTGATTTCATTTTAATTGTTTTCTAATTGCTTGACGACTTTCTAGCCAAGAGGCGTGGCAGGGTCGGGCAAGGGGCCCGAGCGGGCTAACGCTAAGCCCGGTTGGGGCCACGTGCCGGGCGTGCAGCTCATCAATATAGTATTTATATATAGAAGATATTGACCGGTTTAGCAGCTGACAAGGGGTTGGGTGTACATTATGACTGTCTCTGTGTGTGTGTGTGTGTGCCAAAAACTAGTCTACCAAAGCGCGCCACATGACACTGACCTCACCTACTAACGGAACCAGCAGCAGCAGCAGCAGCAGCAACGGCAGCGGCAGCATGGGCAAACGAGGAGCAGACACACGATCTGCGAGTTGAACCCCAACCGGCTCAGCTTGGTTGAACTGACGAAAAAAAAAATGCTGAAAAGAAAAGAAAACAAGTTTATCCACATCCCCAACAGACAGCGTCTCAAAGGCAGCCTCATGAACTTTGCGACGCCAGCTTTACTTTGCTTACTTTTTTTTCTCGTTTTTTTTTTTTTTTGGTGTCTGATTTTTTTTTTTTTTTATCAAACAATAACTGGCAGTGGCAGTGGACGTGCCACCTGAACCGGGTTCCAGTTGCCAGTTCCCAGTTCCCAGGCTGGGTGTGGGGGCGGGGCCAGTGCCAATGTGTGCCTGGCCTGGCCTGTTGTGGCTGAACCAGAAAGTCAGCATCAGCAACTTCTGGATTAGGTCAAGGATTGGCGGCACATGACTTGTAGCTGCTGCTGCTTCTCTTGTTGTTGTTGTTGTTGTTGTTTGGAACTACCTACCTACCGGTACCTGTTCTAAAAAATCAAAACAAAACAAAACACAGCAACAAGTTGTGTTGCCTCTTGTTGTTTGTTTGTTTCGTTTCATTTCGGTCTCTGTTGTTGTTATCAAACATGTTTTGCTTTATTTTTGGTTTTGTGAGATTCTGGAATGGAAACTGAAATCGAAATTGAAAATGAAACAGCAACAGCAACCGTTAAAGAGTTAAACAAACTGGACTATTCCATTCACAGTTGATGTTGTTGCCTCTGCTGTTGCTGCTGCTGCTGCCGCTGCCGCTGCCTCTGCCTCTGCCTCTGCTGCTAACTTTAATGCCGTTTTTACTGTAAACAAAACAAAACACAAATAAGCTAAGCGCTGCCAGCGTTGACGGCGCTGCCACTGCCGCTGCCACTGCTGGTGCTGCTTCCTCTGCTGCTTCCTCTTCTTCTTCTTTCCACCTGTTGTTGTTGATGTGATGAGTTATGCAGTTACACGTTTGACATTTGCGAAGGAGTCAAACTAGTTCGACGGGCACGTGTGCACCGCTTTTGTTTGCCCGTCCCTCGCCCTGTCGCCCTGTTGCTCTCTCTCTCTCTCTGTCGCACTCCCTTTGGCACGCCGGCTAACCCCGCCTGGCCTCCCACTTGTTTCGTTACTGTTTCGGTTTTCAGTGTTTATGTTTGTTTGCATGTTTGTTCGCTTTGTGCAAAACGTTCAACTCAACAACAGCAACAACAACAACAACTGAGACGACAACAACAACAACGCAGCGTATTATCGACTCATCGGGGAAACCGCAAACATTTGAACCCGTTCCACATTCCGTTAACGTTTAGTTTAGTTTGTTATTTATTTTTATTATTATTGTTTTTATACCCTGAACCCATTGAAAATGGGAAATCAGGGTATAATGGTTTTGTGAAAAAGTATGTAACGGGCAGAAGGAGGCGTGGCAGACCCCACAAAGTATATATATTCTTGATCAGCGCGATGAGCTGAGTCGATATAGCCCTGTCCGTCTGTCCGTCCGTCCGTCCGTCCGTCCGTCCGTCCGTCCGTATGAGTGCGTCGATCTCAGAAGTTATAAGAGCTAGAGAGCTGAAATTTGGCATGCATACTCGTGTGTACCATACGCAGTACGAGTTTGCTTTATTTTTTCGATAAATCGTCCGATAACTTTTTTATCGAGAATAATCGAAAAATTGATTTTGTTTTTTTAGCCTAATTTGAACACTTTTAAACCTGGAGTCTTCAAATTTGCGTTGTATATAAAGACAATCGATACAAAGATTTTGTCATTTACAGATTTTGGATACCACGCCCCCTTTCCCCCCAATTTACAAAAAACCCATTTCAAGTACTACAGACTTGTGCTTTGGAATGTACACACATATTCATCATATGATTACGTTCTAAAAGTTTCATTAAGATCGTATGTCTACAAAAGAAATTATTTAACAAAGAAATTCTCATAATATTGCTCACACTGCAGCGCAGCCCAAGCGCAGTCGCTGCTTACTGCGCAGTTAGCAGAGCACGGGCTTATGCGTGCGTGTGGATGCATGTGCATAAAAGAAGTGCAGAATGATTATAATATCAGCTTAGAGGGTTCAGGGTATCTCCTAGTCGAGCAGTCTCGACTGGAGCCTTCTTACTTGTTTTTTTTTTTTTTAGAAGGCACGATCCACCCGGTCAAACAGGCCCAGTTTTTTAAATATATAGAATATCTTTTACCTGAATGTAATTGTTTATTATTATAAATGAGATGGAATGAGTGGATGCTAACAAGCTTTATACTTAACTGAGTTGTTAGGGTCGAGCTTATAGGGATTATGAATGGGCAGCAGTTAGGCGAAGCACAGGTAGAAGGGAGCTGGGAGAGATAGGTAGAACTGATGGGTTTGATAGTGCATATAAAGAAAGTAATATATATAAGTATGACTTATATACTAGCATAATAATAGAGAATATGAAATGTTTAAATTATCAAAGATAGAGTCTATAGATTTTGAAATGATAATTTATAAAAATTAAATATAGTTTTTCTGTTTTATGATTATGAGGGTTTTATTTCATATTATTCACATTTTGTAACTTAAAATGGTAAAAGTAAAATTAATAGTAATACAAATGTAAATCATAAAACTTTTATATTACAGTCAATACTTAGCGACTCATACGAAAATTTTGCAATAAATAATTTTAGTAATTGCCCAATATATTTAATTTGCAATTAGCGGCTTCTTCGTTCGTGGAATTGAATCACCAATACGAAACAAAGCTGCTTGTTTTTGGTTTCCATTTCAAATGATTATTATTGTGAGTCACAGTGTGAGCGACATTCCCCTTCTTGAAATCCATATAATAATATATTACCATACATATTGAATCTATACTTTATATAAGTAATTGCTCTAAATAAAAGAAGATATATAGGCCTACCTTATGCGAATTTTAATCCTTAAACTAAAATCTAGAAATATATGAAAAACATTTTAAAGATTAATAGCGGAGTAGGGCCTTCTGCTTTACATGATATTTTTTAAGATATTTGTAGATTAAGGAATTCATATAAAATCTTTAAAAGCTTTAAGCTTGAAAGAAATAGTAGGGTATTTTAAATTTAATTCTGTTTAATTCAAGCAAAATTGCAATTTCATTTTAAATTAAAAATTTAAAATATATTTAAAGGTTTTTATTATACCATTTTGTTGTTGTTTGTTTTCATACTATTTTAAGCAGCATTAAAAATTATGTTTTTAATATTTTCTATTTCTCTTTCTTTGATTGCAGTTAATTACAACGATAGAGGAGCTAGTTGTTATCCAAGTTCCTTAGTGCCATACAAACAAAAGCAATATCGAAACAGCAGCAACATCAACAGCAGTAACAACAGTAACAACAACAAGAACAACAACCACAACAACATCAACAACAACAAGTGCCTTCATTCATAACGTGATAGTGATATTATTAAAGTTTATATACTCGTAACAAACAAAGCTTGCCACCAACAACAACAACAACAAACAACAACAAACAACATACAACCTGCAACACTTCGAATGCCTTCGCCATTTGCCAGCTGCAACAACAACAACAAAAACAACAAGCACAACGACAGCAACAACTCAAGTTCAAAGTTCAAAGTCTTCCACAAATTTGTTCAATAATTAGTTTCGCCTAGATATACACACACACACACACGCACACACACATATATATATATATACACCCCGATATATATATATATGATGTCCACATCCACGGCGACAACGAGCGTCATTACGTCCAACAACGATCTATCGCTGTCCGCCCACGCACACGCCCATCAGCAACACGGCCACGCCCACGGCCATACGCACACACACTCGCTGCATCCACACACGCACACACACACACATCGCCTGGGCGTCGTTGGGGGCGTGGGCGTGGGCGTCGGCGTTATCGGCGGCGTCGGTGTAGTGGGTGGCCATCTGAGCGACGCCTCCCTCTCGCCCATCCAGCAGGGCGCCAACATTGTAGCCAGCAGCAACAGTTCGCCCCTGGGCCAGAACGGTGTGCCGCTCCTAACCACAATGCATCGATCGCCGGACAGTCCGCAGCCGGAGCTGGCGACCATGACGAACGTGAATGTCCTCGATCTGCACACAGATTCGGCCAAGCTGTACGACAAGGAGGCCGTGTTCATCTATGAGACGCCCAAGGTGGTGATGCCGCCGGATGGCGGTCCGGGCGGTGGCAATGGTGGCAATGGTGGCGGCTCGAATGGTGGTCATGACGATGGCCAGGTGATAGATGCACGCATCGCGGCACAAATGAGCTCACAGCATCAACAGCAGCAGCAGCAGCAGCAGCAACAACAACAACAACAGCAACAGCAGCAGACGGAGCATCAGCCGCTGGCCAAGATCGAGTTCGATGAGAATCAAATCATACGCGTTGTCGGTCCGAATGGCGAGCAGCAGCAGATCATCTCGCGGGAGATCATCAATGGCGAGCATCACATCCTCTCCAGAAATGAGGCGGGCGAGCACATACTCACGCGCATCGTTAGCGATCCCTCGAAGCTGATGCCCAACGACAATGCGGTGGCCACCGCCATGTACAACCAGGCCCAGAAGCTGAACAACGAGCATCAGGCTGTCTATCAGACCTCACCCCTGCCCCTGGATGCCTCGGTGCTGCACTACGGCAACGACAATGTGATCAAAACGGAGGCAGAGATCTACGAGGATCACAAGAAGCATGCCGCCGGCGGTGGCTCCATCATCTACACCACATCCGATCCGAATGGCGTCAATGTGAATGTCAAGCAGCTGCCACATTTGTCGGGCGTGCCACAGAAACTGGATCCGGAGCTGTATCAGCCGGACAAGCACATCGATTTGATCTACAACGACGGCAGCAAGACTGTCATCTACTCCACCAGCGATCAGAAGGGACTCGAGATCTACTCGGGCGGTGATATTGGCAGCCTCGTCTCCGACGGCCAGGTGGTGGTGCAGGCGGGTCTGCCCTATGCCACAACCACCAGCGGCACTGGACAACCCGTCTACATAGTCGCCGATGTCGAGGAACATTTACAGGGGTGAGTAAAGCCCTATATCTAGTATTATAGGCATCACTATAGATTTTTAGCGTAGATATACATTTATCCTAGAGATCTCTTGAGTAAAGTGGGTACATGACAGATATTTTTGAGAACGTAAGTTAGTTTTTAGAATACACATAAGAATTATACATAATAGATTATCTATTATACATAATAGATTATTACATATGTAACATCATATATAATACATATAGATCTTGTGTATTAGAATTTCTTAAGTGAAAGGTTTTTTTTTTTTATCCTTAGGAACATTGTCGTTGGTTCTTTTCGTTACTTGAATGAATACCCTCTGCTCTCTGCTCCCTTATGAGCATTGAAACACTTATTGAACTCTCGCATGATTTTGAGATCTTTTTCTGCCCATTCAATAGCTCAAGCTGATCATTATATATATATATCATACGATATATAGTTTGTTTTTTTTTTTTTCACTTTTTAATAGGTTTTGTTATCATTTTATAATTTCTGCCAATTTTCTATAATTTTCTATGATTATCTAAATCATTTTATTGCGCCGCTTCGTCATCGCTAACAAATTGAGTCAATGAAAGGAAGAGTGCTGGAAAATCCATCAATTATAAGCTGACTAATGATACAATATCAATTAGCTGTGGTTATAGGCATGTGTCGGGTATTATGATTTTCTTAGCAATAGAGATCGAAATAGAGATAGAGATAGAGATAGATGTTGATTAGAAAGAAGAAATTGCGTTAGAATACTCTTAGACATTCTTCTATAAAGTTTAGATATTATTCAAAGCATTTGATACTATTCATCTGATTATTAAATTACAATTGCTATCAATTGATATCGATTTAATCGATGTAATCGATTGCTAATCGATTGTCCTTTTTTTTTTTTTTGATTTGTTTGTTAATTAAGCTTGTTGCTTGCTCCATGTGCCAAGGCCCACATCTTATCATAAATCTTGGCTAATTGTCGCACATACTTGGACCTTGCTACAGCAGCAACAGCTGCGCCATCAGCACCAACAGCAACAGCAGCAACAACAACTTCATTGACAACAGTTGTTGGTGGCATCGAGACGTCCTTTTGGCTTACAAAATGTTGCATCATTTGCATTTCTCATGCATTTGAATTAACCGCTGTCCGTTTTACTGTTAATTATTGCGATAGGCACCAAACACTAACAAGAGCAACAGGCCACAACAGCAACAGCAACAACAACAACTGGCTGCAACGCCAGCGCAATTCCCCCCATTTTAGCCATGGCCCGAAACATTTCGCTGGCAATCCTCAGACCCCATTCCCAAGGCGAATGACAGCTTCCGTTGTAACTGTTTCTACAATACGTTATTGCAACAACAGCAACAACAGCAACAGCAGCCACATCTGTGGCATTTGGCGTGCATCGAATCTGCAAGTAGGCGAGAGGCTAATAATACATAGCCAAAGAGTCAGCCGCAGCCTCCACGCGGATGTGCCACAGCCTCAACCTCGGCAACAGCGCCTGGCAATTCATTTTAGAGCAACAGCCGCAGCAGCAGCAGCAGCAGCAGCAGCAGCTACAACAGCAGCCGCCATCATCATCATCGCCGTCGCCGTCGCCGTCGTCGTCGTCGTCGCGCTTTTGGTATGCGCAAGTAATAAAAATTTGAATATAAATTAATCTAATAGAGAACCGTTACGGCTCGAATGTGCGCCGTGTGGTAAGCACCTCGAGCAAGGTGCTGCCCGCTGCCTGCTGCCTGCTGCCTGCTGCCTGCTGCCTGCTGCCTGTTGCCTGCAACACCAACTAAGTCATCGTCATCTGCATCTGCATGCCGCTGCCACAGCTTCGTTTTCTCCTCCTGCTGCTTCTGCTGCTCCTCCTTCTTCCTCTTCCTTCTTCTACATCTTCTTGTTCTTGCTTCTAATGCCACGTCGATGGTCATCCTGTTATAGCGGAGGCTGCGATACGTTGTTGCTGCTGTTGCTGCCGTTGCCGTTGCTGTTGCCGTTGCTGTTGCTGCTCCAGCACACCATGCATGTTGCATGCACGCCAAGGTCCATAAATAACGACAAAATTGCGTTTCCGCATATGGACGCTGGCCGGGACAAGGTGGACACCCTGGACTTTTGTTGGACTCGGCAGACGCCTCTGACGTTTGGCATGCTGTTTGACCAACGCGCGCTGGCCCCAAAGACGTTGATGGCGATGTCTTCAGCCTCGTCGCGCCTCCGCGCTGCCTCGTTGCATTCTAACAAATGCGCCACATTGACCACAGCGGCTGGCACAACCTCTGCCACAGCTGCCTCCATCGCAGCTCCATCTCAATCGGCTTGCGTGTTGGTGTTCGCCTCGCATGTTGTACAGTTGGTTTTAGCCATCCCCGATATGTGGTCGGTTGCATTGCCAACAGTTCTTTCTTTCTCTCACTCTCTGTCTCTTTGTCTCCTGCCATCCTCTAGTTGGGACAGTTTTGGCGTATTGTGGTTGCCTAAATTCAATGCTCCATACTTGAAAGTATGCCGACAGGGTATATTAGTGCTAGTGTCATTTTGGTCTCTCACTCATTTATGCCTGAGCTTAACAAATTTGGTGCTTTATATACCCTGTAATTTATACATTTTGTATTTTATGCACTGATAATCGTTTTAGATTTTCATATATTATTTATAGATTTGTTTGAATAGATTTCAAGCAACAAATTCTTACAGGATATCAATTAGTCAATATGATCTGCCTAGCATGTTAATTATGCATTCCCTATGCTCTATTACAGTAAAATGAGTAAGCTTCTAAGACGTTTATAGGGTATCTAAAAGTCGATTTCAATTTATAGCTTATTCCAGATTTAGAATTTGCTTTAAAAAAACAAGTACAAGTTCAGAATTTGAAATTTCCTGGAAAATTTAACCACAAAAATAGTTTACAGGGTATCTGCTAGCCACAATTAATTTTCATCATTTCATTTTCATGTATGATTTAATTTTAAAACATATATACTAAACATATTCTATACTTTAATGTAGTAGAAATCCTATTAACTAGTTTTTATAGGGTATGTATAAGTAACCCATTGATTTATATTCGCTAATATCCATAATTAATAAATATAACTGCATTCTGTAAGCACTATTTCTGTTATTGCATTACTTGACAGAAATTTGCTCACGCATTGAAGGGTATCTGCACGTCGCGTTTGCAAGTTGCTTTGCTTTTAAATTGACATTAAGCCATCTGCGTGTGACCTTTGTTGTTGTTGTCGTTGTTGACGCTCGCTGCATTAACTGCAAATCCTTCGCCTGTCGTACCTTTTCATGTCCTACGGACCCTTTTGCCATGGATCGCATAAATAAGCCGCTTACAAGCGACTACACTGTGCAGCAAAGTTAAGCTCTCGCTTCCTCTCCGTTCGAGTTAATCTTGGAGCTTTGCAAGCTTGATGAAATGTCAAGGCATTGTGATGAAAGCTTCAACGATCGGCAGCGCCAACGCCAACCCCAGCGCCAGCGGCATTTATTACCCACATTATTCGGTTGAGTGCAAAGCAATGCACGATTATAAAGAAACATTGAATGGCTTTGTTTATTGCTTAGGAGCTATAAAAAATATGTATAAACAACAACAACAAAAACCAACGTGATTTAACGGCTATTGCATTTTCATTAAAAGCATCTTGTGCAACAAGGCAGTCAGTCCATCAGTCCAACAGTCTGTCAGTTCGTCAGTCTCATAGGTGGGCATCAAACATAATATCCATCATTTATGTCTATCTCAAAGACGATTTTACAAGTCAATTAACGATCTAATTCAAAGTTCAGTGCTCGGTGGCCCGGATCACCTGCCGTGCCGTAAGAGAGTATAAAGTTCACTTGAAACAAAAGCTTCTCAGAGCGCAACAGTTAGGGTTTCTTTAACTGGGAACAGTAAGGAAAAACTGTTCCCAGCGCTCATAGAAGAATTTAACAGCTTCCTGCTTATGTATATTTGGTGCTCCTTTCATAAGAGTAAACTAAACTATTCTCAATCTACTGTTCTCACATTCAAACTGTTCCCTATCATAAGAGAATAGTTTCTTTGTGTTACTTTTGTTTTAGTTTCAGCAGAGCAAACTAAACTGTTCTACCTTTTCTGTTCTCATGTCCCATCTGTTCCCATTTCTCTGCTTTTGGGGAGCAAACTAAACTGTTCTCACACTTAAAGTGTTCCCTATAATAAGAATTGTAATAGAATAGTTTTCTTCTATTACTTTGGCTCTGCTTTTGAAAGAGTATACTAAACTGATCTCTATTCCCATATGTAAGCTCCATTAGCTTTTCAACTATATAGTGCCTGCTTTTGTTGTGTAGTGTATTTTAATTTGTCATGCGGAAACCACAGAAAATTGTGTTAAAATGAATTGCACTTTATGAAATTTCCATATACTCGTACATATATAAGGATGCCCTTCATGATAGCCTTCCTTGTGGGGCGTTCGCGGTCATACACTCACACACACACACACACGCACACACACAGACAGTGTGTGTCCGACAGGCACACCTCATTTATTTACTTACTTTCACTTTAGTGTTCATATTAAATTTCCGAACTGCAAAACATATTTTTTTTGCCTGGTATTTTATTTTGTTTTTATTTTAGCATTTTTTTCTTTCTTATTCCCCCCATTTTTTATTCAATTTTTATTTTTATTTTATTTTAATACGACATTTTAGTCACGATAAAAAATGTGTGTGTGTGTGTGTGTGTGTGTACAGTGCTGGCCAGCAAATTGTGCCCGAGTGTAAACAGTGACTGTCTTTAATTATATTTGAGCCGTAAGCGCATTTATTATTGCATTGTGTTTTGTTATTGGCTTTGACTTTGCCCCTAACTACCCTCGATTGACAATATTTCAGTGGGCTTATTGTTAACACACTAACACACTCACTCACACACACACACTCACACTCACACTTGAACACCCATCGGAAACGTAAATGGAGCATTTATATTTGATTGGGTGCATTGTAGGCAATATTAGCTTAG